TATCAGCTGATGTGGTTTTGTAATCTAACTGATATGATGTATTAATCTGGATGACTTATGTGCATTTGAATTAATATTTTGGAACTGATTAAATGATGTTATCTTCCGCTTAAATTAAATGTTGAAATTTGATTTCTAAAACTACGAAAATGTTACATATTTTATGGAGCAAAATGTTAAAGAGTTTTGTTGGTGAAATTGTGACATTCTTCCTTTATACCTTATCCTAAATTTTTTACTCTGATGAATTTGTATACGCTTAATTGTTTTATATGCATATATAAGTGGGGTATAGAAGGGGGTGTTACAACAAGTATGTCGATTCCTTTTTCATCCTTTGCTTTCAATTCGTAAGTCACATTCCTGATGATCAAGTTTCATCTGATGGCGCTTTTGGTTCATTTTTTCAATGCTTAAGTTGCAATTTCTGTAAATCTGAAAGAAACAACAGTAGCAAACTCATTCGTTAAAGACAAACATGATTAAAATCATACAATGCGAAAAAGTACTTATAAGTGATATTACTCTTTCTAGGGCATACATTAGAAAAAAAAATCTATGAATTTAAAACTTTCTACATGTCTTTTTCACATGTTATCACTGCAGAAAAGATCATGCATGTCATTCATGGTGTTATTGAAATCATTATTTTGGCGGGTCCATTCTACTCTCATGTATTCTCTTTTTCTTTCTTGCTATTGATCTTGATTTCTAAATTAATTCTCCATTTCTTTGGCGCTTCCAAAGTGTACTCTTAAACTTTGGCCAGGCATGTGGTCTTCTTGTTGGTTGTAGAAGTATTTGAATACTGGTGCGAATCTTGTGGTTCAACATATAAGGTAGGTGAACCTTCTGTTATCGACCTTGTTACTTCCACTGCATGAGCTTCCACCCTTCTCTGAAATTCTGATTCCTGTTGATTTTCTTGAACTTACGCCGCTCGTTGCCGCACCTGAGGTTGGTAAAATTCTTCTTCATTTCCTGTTTGGTTTTCCTCTTGATCTTGTTGAACTGCTCCTGATGGGTGATTAAATTTTTGAAGCGTTGATAGGTGCTTTTGGACCTATCATCTCGTCATTTGGGTAGGTGGGTACTCCAACTCTCCTACATAATTCATTAATAACACACAAATGCCTACAAGCTCGTTGTGCAGAGTTAACCATATTTTTAATATTTTTCAAAAATTAAGTACCCTACATTAATAGGCTCACCCCCTTAAAAGATCCAAAAGTCCTAAGCATCACTTCACAATAAATTATGACTGATTAGAAGCGGCTTCTAGAGTTTGAACAAGGAATGATGCCCATGCCTTAAGGATTTGGCGAAATTCAATGGTTCTAAGCGGCTTCAAGCATTTATTGGGCCATGGTTTCGTTTATAGCATGATGCTCATTTCTATAAGTCCTAATAGCACAAACTTGAGAAGGTTGAAGATTAAAAATAGAATTAATAGCACTAGTAGAGTAGTCAATGTACTTACCTCACACATATGAAGTATAAGAGCCCATATCACTAAAAGCAACATTTACATAAAACTCGAGGCTAATGGTTTTGTTGGTTTTCTGAATTAAATCATTAAAACTTACCCATTATCGCTATTACAACATTTCCACCACTTCTTTGAAACCCATCAGATCATCGTATGCAAAATCTATTTCTCTCATAATATGGTAGTCCACCGAGTTAAAATAATTTTTAACATTTGCTCAAGAAAGAAAAATAGCTCCACATGTGATGTATTGTATGTTTCTTCTATGGGCAATAACTTGATCAACTTGGGTTTCTTAGAAAAGACTACACAATGAAGTTATAAGATACATAGCTCAAAGCTTTTGATTTAATTTTCAACCAAATCTTGAATGCATCATTATCAACCAACAAGACATTCAAGATTATGATCAACATGCTATACCATTAATGTCTTTCATCAACCACAATCGGAGAACAAAATTGGTTTTGGCGTTAGAGGTATGGCCATCTCAATTTTAGGAGTCTCAACTTGATGCACAAGAAGAAAATGGTGTGTAGACTTCCTAAGATCACAATGCCAAAGCATTTATGTAAATAATGTCGCATTACCAAGTAAAAAAGAAGGTAATTCAAACATGACTTTCCAATTAAGTCACAACAGGTGTTAGAGACTGTGCACTCAAATGTGTGTGTCCCCTTTGAAGTAAAGTTTCTAAGAGGTAACCGTTACTTCTCAACTATCATAGATGAATTCACTAGATATATGTGGATTTACCTATTGTAAAAGAAAAAGGAGGTGTTCACCAATTTCAAGAGATTCAAGCTGCTAGTTGAAAAGTTGGTTGAATGTGCCATTAAAAGGATAAAAATTGATGTTGGTGGTCAGTATACCTCAAGTGATTTTACTCAGTTATGTGATAAATAAAGGATTGAACATTAAGTTATACCACATTACACACTTCAACACAATGACATCATTGATGTGCAAAAAAAAAATAATATCATGAACATGGATAAAAGCATGCTAAAGTCAAAGAAAATACCAAATAATTTCTTAGGTGAGGCTACTCAACTATTATCCACATCATCAACACATGTCAAACAAAGAAGTTGAACAACAAGACACCTTTTAAATCTTGGTCATGCCTGAAGCAAAGTGTTGGGAACTTCAAGATATTTGGATCATTATGTTATAAACATGTATCTAAGAAACTCAGAAGGAAGCTTGATGATAGAGGCCAATCAACAATCTTGGTTGGTTACCATTCCATAGTTACATACAAGTTGTTCTCACCAAATTAGAACAAAAAAGTGATTAGTAAGGGTATGAAATTTGATGAAGTAAAAGGATGGAATTAACTTAACACAATGCAAAAAAGTGAAGGTTCAAGCCACGTTATAACACTCTTAAGATGATGACAAAAAGTAGAGGCTGAGATTGAGCCTGCACAACCTTATGATGTGAGAAGATCAATAAGAGCTAGAACTCAATCAATTACATTTAGTGATTATGAGAGATGACTTGATCAAGCTATAAGAGAAAATGGTGACCTAATTGAAGAATCTATAATGGTTGAAGCAAAGACAATATATCATGTTCAAGCCATGAAAGATGAGAGTTAATAAGGTGCAATGAATGAAAAGATCAAGGCCATTGAAGAAGAACAAAACCTGGGAGCTACTTAACTATGCATGCAAGGCAATAAATTCCAAGTGGGTTTACAAGCTGAAGTTGAAGCCAAGTGGAGAAATTGCCAAGAATAAGAAAATATTGGTGGCAAAAGGGTTTCTTCAAAAGCCTGAAATTGGTTTAAATGAATGCAACTTTTGCTAGACTTGAAACCATAAGATTGATTATAGCTACTGCAACATACATAGGTTGGAAAATGGACCAACTTGATATAAAGTCAACCTTTCTTAATGGACCTTTAGATAAAGAAGTTTATATGAAGAAACTACTCGGTTTTAATTAGGTGAAAAGGAAATAAAAAATGGTGTGTAGACTGAGAAAATAATTGTATGGTTTGAACCAAATACCTAGGGCATGGAACAAGAGGATTGATAACTTCTTGATCAAACTATGTTTCAACAAGTGCACATCATAATACACAGTGCATATGAAATGCTTAAGTGAACAAGACCAAATTATTATATGTCTTTATGTAGATGATCAATTGATCACAAGTTCTAATGAAGATGAATTAGCAAAGTTTAAGACAAGCATGAAGAATGAATTTGAAATGTCAGACTTAGGAAATTTGACATGTTTTCTAGAAATGGAAATTGTGAACATAAAGCGTAGAATTTTCTTGCATCAAAAGAAATATACATAACACATCCTAAAGAAGTTCAAGATGAGAAATTGTAATTCTACAATCACACCCATGAAAACCAACATTAAATTGAAGGAGTTAGAAGATGAAATGGTGGATAACACATTATACAAAGAAATAATTGGCTTTTGAGGTATCATTGCAAGACAAGGCCAATCATAGTGTGAGATTAATTAGTAGATTTATGAAAAAATCAAGGCTATGTCATCTACTTCCAACAAAAAGGATCCTAAGATACATTAGAGGTAGAACTGACCATGGAATACTCATGGCAAATTAACATAACACAAGTATGGAAGCCAAAATGTATGGTTATTTTTATTCATATTAGAGTGGTGATCAAGATTATAGAAATAACATAATTAACTCCTTGTTCACGCTTAGACCAACACTAATCTCTTGGAGTTCAAAGAAGCAATAAGTCACACATTTGTCTTCATGTGAGATAGAGTATGTTGTAACCTCATATGCTACATGTCAACCAAATGTGAAATACTGTGTGCAAATCAAGTTGCTAATGGATAATCAATCATCAATTGATTCAACAACCATCCTACGAGTCATGTTAGTAACAAACACATAGAAAAATACATTACTTTCTTAAAGACCAAATTGGTAAATAGAGGTTAGGAATTAAGTATTACAAAACTGAATTGCAATTGATAGATATCTTGACAAAAACTTTAAAGCATGCAAGATTTAAAGACCTTAAACGGTTAATGAAAATAAAGAGTTTAGAGATTTTGAATTAGGAGGGATATTAGATGTAATTCACTTTATATTCATTGTTGTTAGTGATAGTTTAAAAGTGTTACAAGTGTGATTTACAAACACAAGAAAAACGGTCACACATGAAACTTTTATTTGGTAACAAAAATTCTATGTGAATATCTAACCAATCACACAAATCACCCAAACAAATAAAATCTTCCATCTCACAGACTCACAAATATCTTCCTCCTAAAAATCTACTACCTCACCAAACCACTCACACAGAATATACCCACCCATGCGTCACCCGGACTATAGTCTCTATACTCGCCGGAAAAGCCAAAAATGCCGATTTTATAATAAAACCCGCGAAACGACAAACAACATGAAGACACCACTAAAACCAACCTCCCCTCTCCCATCTCCACTTAAATAATATCCCAAACCAACACTCTCCTCCATCTCCACCACCACCTGCCACCACATATGGCGGCGGCGATGCTCTCTTCTTCCCTCTTTCCAACCACACATCTCAACAAACCACTCACCTCCCAGTTCCGTCCTCTTTCACTTCGTCCATCATTTTCCAGGTTCGTAAATTTGTAATAATCTCCCAACGTAACGCTCATCTATCATATATCATCTCTTATCGATTTATTTTAACGATTTCATCTTGTTCAGGATTCGTGCTTCTCTATTGCAAGATAAAGAGGATAAAGTTATTCTACAAGACTCTTTCCCTTCTAAAACAACATCTCCTTTAGATTCAGATACTGGTAGTAATTCAAGTGGTGATAGTGTTTCATCCTCTAGTGCTTGGGAAAAAGGGGTTATCAAGGTTGAACAATCAGTGAATATCTTTCTCACGGTAATTGTTTTCATCTGATTTACGGTTCATCATTCATTCTCTTGTAGTTTGGATTTCATTTTTGTTGTTTATTACTCATTTTCAGTTTCAATTCATGATTGATTTCAGGACTCTGTTATTAAGATACTTGATGCTCTCTATCATGATAGGAATTATGCAAGGTTTTTTGTGCTTGAAACTATTGCTAGGGTCCCTTATTTTGGTAAGTGCTATTTTATGGCTTTGAAGTATTGTTATTCTCTAATTTATTAAGTATGATTATAATACATGACTCTCAAACTCTGTAAATTGTATGAGCGTATGACTATGGACATAAAAATTGAGTTAATTTGCTTACAAGATTGTTTATGTAAACTCTAATAGATTTGCGTACTGTTTGTGTTGAATTGGAAGTTTGAGAACGAAGACGAGTTTACTACATAATGAATATGATAAGGGTTTAGTGTTTTTTGAAAACCCAAAATGCAACAGAAGGCTTTGTGGTACACAAACATTAATCTCTTAGTTGTAGTACTTGACTCTATGGATGTATGTAACATCCCATTTGAAAAGGAGATAAAGATGGATGTGTTATTCGGTCTCATTCTCATAGCTCCCAACAGAAACAAAGGCATGAGCTAGAAAACATGAACAAACCCATCATTGTAAGTTTCTAATGAACCTGACAGGCCAAGAAGGTGAATGAACCCAATCCTTATGAGCTTAAACCTAGCTCTACCAGTGTTGTCAATCGCGGATAGCAAAAGATAGTGGTTTGTTAACATAGTGTATTGTTAAAATTCCACTATGCAATAGTGCTATAGTGCTGATATAGTGGCTATTTGACTATATTTGGTACTAATTAGCGTATTATGGAACAATAGCAGTTTGTCCAAATTCCGCTATGCTATAGTGGTATAGTGCCGCTATAGCAGCTATTTAACAGAATTGGCTCTACCACACTAATTCCACTTCCAATGAGAGGAACCTAGTTTCTTCATTCTTCACTCTGTAGTAAATTTGTGCCTTCTCAATTTTCTATTGATTTTTAAACATGCTCTTTTTATGTGTTGATCGGTTAACATGCATCGTGATTTGTGAATTTTTCCATCAATTTTGAAGTGTGATGCTGTTTGTGTATTTTGGTCTCATCTAATATGGTCTGGCCAGGCATCTGGTGTGGATGATGGAGCTTTTAACCCATCTTGTTTAATTTATTGGTTACTCAGAAAATTTATCTTTTGTTATGGTGGATTTCTTAACTGCTAAGTTAATGTTGAACATTTACTATGCACATAGCGAGTTGTGTTTAGATACATATGATTACACCCTTTTTTGTTTTTATGTCAAAAAAGAAAGGGACCTGCATACGAGCTGTTAGTTTTTTTCCCTAAACTTCATAGTATAGTGATCTTGAAATTCCTTAGCAATACATGAAAATTACCATACTAATTTAGTATCATACTTTATTTATTTAATTACATGTAAATGTAGGGAGTCACTGTGCAGTGTGATTGCAACTTTTCAGCATAAGTATTAACTTTTGTTATATATATGTGGCAGCCTTTATGTCAATTCTTCATATGTATGAGAGTTTTGGCTGGTGGAGACGGGCGGATTATCTGAAAGTGCATTTTGCCGAGAGCTGGAATGAAATGCATCATTTGCTCATTATGGAAGTAAGATTTTTGATAGCTTTTTCCCTTTAATGCAACTGATATCTTGTTGGTTAGTCCGCAAAATATGTCATTCCGTAATATCTTAGTAGTTCTCTATCCTTGCGATTTTTTGAAGGGCCTGTAGTTGAAAATACTGTGAATTTGAATTATAAGACTTCACTGATAGCAGACGGAAAATGAGGGTGTCTCTTTCACTAACTACATTTAGATAATGAGGGTGTCTCTTTCACTAACTACATTTAGATTTGTAGTATAGGGAATTAATAATACATTGGTATTTCTCAAGTTCTGCAGTATGAAATCACATGTATGTGAGCTCTAATATTCACATACTTTATTGCATACAATAAGCTTGGGTCTATGGTTGCAGGAACTTGGAGGGAATGCTTGGTGGTTTGACCGGTTTCTTGCTCAACATATTGCAATATTTTATTATTTCATGACAGCTTTAATGTATGCAATAAGCCCAAGAATGGCATGTAAGTATTATGTACTTAATTTTTTGTTTTATTATAATCCCTGCAACATCCATTTGTTGGTTAGATTATCATGAAAATTTAGTGATTTCAAGTCTCATGCATATGATAAGTTCTGAAAAAACCAAATGGTATTCTCTTTAGCATGTACATCATTGATGAAAAGAAAATGAAGGAAACAATTCAGTTAAAGCATTATGTACTTAAAATGACTAAAATAAAGCTTATTTATGAGCCCACTCAAGCTAGAAGGAACAAAATGACCTAGTTTTCTTTTGGTAAATCATCAAAATTACCATGTTTGACTTGTATTACACATTGTAGCATTCCATACCTGTCTGCTTGGTTCTTCAATTTCTGATTTGTGTTTATGATTTATTGCTAGTGCAGATCACTTTTCTGAATGCGTAGAGAATCATGCATTTGAAACTTATGACAAATTTATCAAGGAACAAGGAGGTAATTTCAATGTTCTTTCTTCTCTTTGTAATTTTAAGATTTTAATTGTACATGTAAATATTTTTTAGTTTTGGCTTTATGTTTTCGTAATTAAGTGTGTAGGCCAGTAAACCATCAGATTATACTTATAATGCTCCTGAATCATGCTTTATTTGATATGAAATCAGCTGTGGGTGAGCAAATTGACAAGCCAAGATTATTCAAGCTGTCTAAAGAATTGTTTTTTGTTTTGTTGTTTTAAACTATATTGTTCTGTTTTGGCATTCTTTTGTGAATAACTGAAAATAAAACAAAACAGATTGATGGTCCTGATATATTAATAAACTTGATCGACGAAGGTTCCAAAAGTTGTTCCACTTTCCTTCACACTCGTGGTTCATTATGTTGTGTTCTTGTCCTCCATGATTCAATAACTAACATGGTTTGGTAAATTTTTATAGAGGAATTGAAAAAAATGCCGGCTTCTGAGGTAGCTGTGAATTATTATACAGGAGATGACTTGTATTTATTTGGTAAGCTCTTCATTATTTTTGACTTAAATTTGTTTACTTGAGGCACAAAAACCAAAATTTCACACTTCCAATATCATTTTTTCAGATGAATTTCAAACTTCCAGAGTTCCAAATACTAGAAGGCCTAAGATAGGTATATCTTGAAACCTAATCACTCAAATGTTCAATTAAGTGGTTACTCATTTAGCACAATCTAAACATTGTTTATCTTTTATATGAAATGCTCCATTGCATATTACTTTTTTTAAAGTAGTAAAATTTCTCACATTGATTATTTCTTTTTCCCCTCTAGAGAATCTGTACGACGTATTTTTAAATATCCGAGATGATGAAGCTGAACATTGCAAGACAATGAGGGCTTGTCAAACTCACGGGAACCTCAGGTCGCCTCATTCATATGTGGAGGACAATGATGAATCAGTCTGTACTCTTGAAGCAGGCTGTGAAGGAATTGTTGACTGTATAAAGAAATCTGTTACTTCTAATCCAGTTAAGGTGAAGTAATATATGCAGCACAATTTATAATACATTCATTCATAAAAAGATGAAAACAAAAAGGGTACAAGGCAGTTTCCTCTATACTTTTAAAGATATAGAAATAATGTTAGTCTTAGAGATAAAGTAAATAGTTGAAATTTGGATGGATTCCTCTAAAGCTAGGGAGGGTGTAAAAGCAAAATTTTCAACTTTTATTGGATTATGCATATGCTTTAAATTAAAGCAATAGTGACTATATTTGTATTTATTCGTTACTTCAAAGATAAATATATTTTTAAAGAACATTTTTTCTTGAAACTCCTAGCATAGAGAGGAAATATAAGAAAAGAGTTGCATCTTTTTCCTGAAAGTGCGATAACAGGGGAATGTTACTTAGTTTTTTAGTTTTCTTTTTCACGATTCAATGTAAAAACGTGTTTCTGTCAAATGGTTTAAGCTCAAATATCATTAGTTTTTTCACGATTCAATGTAAATAGCTGATAAGACTATTATTAGTTGTTATTTGAGCTTGAATTTCTATGTCGAGAAACATGGTTGAGCTCAAAAAAGAGAAATAAACTAATACGATTAAATGGTTTAGTATTAATTCAATGATAAAATATTCATTATAATTAATTTATAATACACTATATAATGATTATGATTTTAAAGTAGTCCTGTGGTTAGAATTTATCTAATAATAAATAAATAGGATGTCGCGGATTCAAATCTGCGCTCTGCCCTGCACAACTGCGCTCTGCCCTGCACAACTAACAATTGAATTGATTTAACGGAATTAATTTTAATAATAAAATTACTTAACTATTTATAATTAAATATAACTACTAATCTAGATTTTATAATCAAATTTCATCATATTCTTTATTTGAAGATGAGGATGATTGTTCCCTCTACTTTTTTTTTTTCCATAGTTTTTTTATTAAGAAAATACAAATAAGTTAAAAACAAAAGTATTTAAATACTAGTATCAAATAAAAATATCAAATTCACAAAATAAGTATTACTATTTCATTGTGCAAACTTGCCTAAAAAAAGTTAGTACTAGTAATCAATAGAAATGATCCTATCGATTGCAAATTTCTGCACACGACAACCAGAAATAGCATGTGAAAACAAGAATCTCTACATCCAATGGTAAGTTTCTCTCTCGCTTGCATTCTTCTCCTTCATTGGAATCACCTCCATTTCCAGCATTGATTTCGATTTCGATATTCATTTCCCCGCTTTTTGTTATTAATTAATTGAATGCATCTTGGATTTTACGTGCATGCATGTGTAAGCGATCACAGGAAACTTAAACAATGAGGAAATCCGGTGGTAGAAGAAAAAAAGATAAAGTCGGAACACCGAATTCCGATTCACAACCGAATTCTCCATCGTCACCAAACACCACATTCGAGCCTCGCCCAGGTTCAAAGAAGCCCGAACAGATTTCACCTTACAAGCCCAAGCCTGAACATGTTTCACCTCTCAAGCCCAAGCCTGAACATGTTTCACCTCTCAAGCCCAAGCCTGAACAGATCTCACGTCTCAAGCCCGAGCCCAAGCCCGAGCCTGATACGATTGCGTCGAGACAGTTGAAGCTTGCTTACGATCATGACATAAGGTTAGCACAGTTGCCGATAAATTGCAGCTTCAGAGTATTAAGAGATTTAGTGAAGCAGAAATTTCCAATGTCGAATTCAGTTTTGATAAAGTACAGAGATGATGACGGTGATTTCGTTACTATAACCTCCACAGAAGAACTCAGATTCGCCGAATCTACCGTCGATAAAGCCTATTCAATTGGAACTCTGAAACTAAATATCATCAAAGTTAGTCCCGAACAGGAACCACGTTTGTTAGACGAAAGAGAAGAAAAAGAAAAACCTCTAGATTGGGTTTTGGATGAAAAATATGGCACTACTGAGCACAAGAAAGTAGTAGAGAATGTAGAGGTTGATGATTGGTTATACGAATTCGCTCAGTTATTTGGTTCGCTTATTGGTATCAATGAATCTATTGATTTTCGCGAGTTAGGAACAGAGTTTTGTTCAGAGGCACTTGAAGATATAGTGACCTGTGATGAAGCTCAAGATTTGTTTTACAAAGCTGAATCTAAGTTTCAGGAGGTTGCTGCATTGGCGTTTTTCAATTGGGGAAATGTCGACATGTGTGCTGCTAGAAAGTTTGTTAAACTAGATGAGAATGAGAATGAGGTTATGTTAATGAAAGAGTCAGAGTTTGATTTTGTCAAGGAAAAGTACTATTTAGCGCGAGAAAAGTATGAACGCGCAGTGGTGATTAAACCTGATTTTTACGAAGGATTACTGGCTATTGGACAGCAACAATTTGAATTGGCTAAGCTTCATTGGTCATTTGGTCTGGTGAATAAGATGAATTTAGGTAAAGAGACGCTGCGGCTTTATGATGTTGCTGAGGAGAAGATGATGGCTGCGAGCGACATGTGGGAGAGGTTGGAAGGAGGGAAACTTGGTATGCAAGGAAGTGTTGGTATGAGATCACAGATTAATCTTTTTTGGGGGAATATGTTGTTTGAAAGATCTCAGGTGGAGTTCAAATTGGGAATGAGGTATTGGAAGAGAAAACTGGATGCTTCTGTTGAACGGTTTAAGATTGCTGGAGCTTCCGCGGATGATGTTTCGACGGTTTTGAAGAAGCATTGTTCCAATGCAAGGGACGGAGAAGTGAAGGGATCGCCAAGAATACAGAATGTAATCAAAATGATGAAATAGAGATGGATGATCGTGGTTGAACTTGAAGCTTTTGGATAGTTCTGTGGCTGTTTTCCTTTGAAATTCGCACGAATTTTCTCGGTAATATAGATTATTTCTGATCATTACATTCTGCAGTAGAGTTTTCAATAATCATTTTTACACCAGAAATATTAGTCTATTGTTCATGTTCTCTTGCTATATCATATGAATGTGATGTTACAATGTGTTAATTCCATGCTATCTTGAAAATGTTTGTTTGATTATTTTATTCTTTCAAATGTTGCTTGTGTTGCCTATTTTACAGCGAGGCATTGATGTACTACATTGAATTTATTTGTTTAGTAGAAATGGTTTGTTGTTTTATTTTAGGAAATCAATTCAAAATTCCCAAATGATGCACATGTATTGAAATTTTAAACATACCGTTAATGAGTCTTGCATCGAAATTGAATGGTGTATCACTTAATTATATATTTATAAGTGAGAATAATTCTCGACTTACAAATCGGTTTGTAAGGTTGAGTTAAGTTCAACTACAATTCAAACTTCTAAATTGATTTGTAAGATTGAGTTAAGTCCAACCGCAATTCAAATATGATATCAGAGTCTTGCTTAAAATCTAGACCACCTACTATTGAACAACAAATAACCTGATCATATGTTTATAAATGAGAGCAATCCTTACGGTTAAGTTAGGGCCAATCATAAGTCTTAACAGTTTCTCAGATATGGATGAATGTAAATTTCTTAATGCTGAATAATTCTCTTATCTCAAAAGCTGGTGTTATCCAAAGTAAAAGCAAAAGTAGAAAAGCAAAATGGGATAGGATAACAAAAATAAGTGAATGCCTCTGCACTCTAGAGTCTAGGCTGGTGTCTTCAGATTATGGATTGTTTCTCTGGTAGATGAACTCTGATTAGTTGTCGTAAGGTGCATAAATAGCCATGCATGATTGTTGATTTTATCATCACATGGATTTAAGTAGATGAGAAAAGTCATGTTCCAAGTTTCAGCTTATAGCTATTTCATTACCTGTCAACTAGGTGTTTCCTTAAGAGGAGAAACATTGTGGTGTTGATAGAATTAATCTTTGCTTGTCAAATAAGTATTTTACTCAATAATAACATGTTTGAGATAGGATTAGCTTGTAAGATAATGATTGCCCCGGTTATATATTTTCAAATGTGAGATTTTTAATAGATTCTATCATCTCTAGTATTAAACATTTGTAGCATGAAAATAAATGGTGATGATCCGATAACAAAATTTTGATAGTAGGTGATCTGATAGTAGGTGATCCAACATATTTTAAACAAAGTTTTTGATACTATGTTAATAAATATGGTTTGAACTATCTCAATCATACAAAACTCGTTTTTAAAATGGAGATTCCCCTATTTATAAGAGGTTTCTTCCTGCCATCCCCTATTTTGACCCGACACCCCTATAAGGGGGTTGCGATTACGTTTTTCCCCTTACTAAACTTTTTTCTGTTTTTGATAAATACTAGATTTTTGACGCAAATATCATATTTTTTAACATCTTTTACCGATTGAATGAAGAATTTATGGATTTTTTTAAGTGTATCGGATATTTCGCAAAATAATGCAAAAATACTAGACATTTTGTAAATTTTCAGCAAAAATTCAAATATATTTGAAAAAATGATGAAGAAATATCGGAAACTTAGAATATACGGGGACAAAATTATCGGATATTTGAAAAGAACCGGTACCATATAAAATCTATCGGATTTTTTAAAATATTCGGTACAAACCAAAATTTTTCGAAAATTTTAAAAATCCAATACGCAGTAAAGAAATTATGGCAAAACTTTATTTTAATTGACATTTTTAAGAAAGTATACTAGATAAAAGTCATACATATAATTCAAAAGTGATATAATATCATTATAAAATAAATTATGTCAACTTCCTAGTTTTTTGTTCCTAATGCCTAATACATCCCGCACATGCTAATTTCTATGCCCTTACAACTTCATTACAACTCTGCCTCCACCGATTTGTGACGGGAGAGAAAGGACAATTAGGTTTCAACTTCACCTGAACCAAATGATTGTTGTTAACAAAATCAACTGCAATTATTTTGTGTCTACTTGAAGTTATGTATAGAGCTATCGCTAATGGGAATAATGTAATGTTAAGGTTCATGGACAATGAGATCAATATAACATTGTACCTAGAAACAATAGGCTAACCCATATCAGGAATCGTCATCCACTTCTCACGATTTTGCACATTCAAGTTAACTACCTCTAACACACTCCTAACTTCCGGTATTGTGTCATAGAACAAATCTGAATACAATTGATGGTGTTGATAAACTTCGATATCTAACTGCGCCCAAATCAAAGGCCAAGACTATTCGCCCCATTCAATTAAAGTTGCAATAGCCTAAAAACCACAATTTCCATCATCTTCCATATCAACAATGTCATCAATGTATTGATGCAAAAAAAAAAAAAAGAAATTGAAACAAATATTTTAGTTTTGAAGACACGCCATACAATTGACTCTTAATTGGTTTTGTACTTGATCTCTTCGTACTCTGACTTTCCTGTGAGCCCTCAACATACTTCCACTATGAAGGATCATGAATCACGATCCTTCACAGTGGAAGTATGTTGAGGACTCGCAGGGAAGTCAGAGTACGAAGAGATCAAGATACACATCGCTCTTTTCACCCTTTTTACTCTTCTTATTTCCCATCTTTGGCTTGTATTTTACGAGTGGTGGACACATGAAAGTTGTAGATGAATGTGTTAGTTTCTGAACTTTCTTCTTCATTGCCATCTGACCTGCAATATTCACTGTACTGAAATACGTCTTCAACTCTTCACAATATTCTTCTAAATTCAACTGTGTTCAACTTTCTTCTTTAGTGACCTCATGCTCTTCGATGAATAATTTCTTCCAAAACACATGTATCTTTTTTAACAGAATATGCTCTTCTTGTATTTGCTAACCTACAAGTTCACACGCATAATGTAATCTATTTGTTGTTCTAACGAATAGTAATAACAATAATTGTTTATCAACGAACTGCACCCATGCCAAAATGTCAGTCTGAGAGGGAAACATCTGACATTTACAACATATACAAAATAAATTATCAATGTTAGTAGATGATAAATAAGTTATTGTTATTACTATTCGTTAGAACAACACATGGATTACCATGTGCGTGTGAACTTGTAAATCAATTATCAATGTTTTACTCAATTATTTTCCTATACACTTAAAAAGTTAGTAGATGATAAATCAGTTCATAATTCTCAACGAGAGTTTTTTTTTTCGTTTTAAGATTATGCCAAATTATTTGTTTCTTAATTGCAGATCTTTAAGTTATTTTAAGAGTGTTATGCCCATGGTTGGCTATTTAATGACGATACAATTAAGGATGAGTTTCATGATATATAAGGCTCCCAGACAATCTGGTATCAGAGCCTATACAAAAAGAAGAGGTGCATATGGTATGAATATAATAAAGACGGTGAGTAAGGAAGAAAATCACTTAAACATGGAAACACCTGAACCAAACACTCAACCTATTACTACTACTTTTTTTTATCGCTTCCTAAACTCTATAAAAAGACTAATTCTCATAAAATAGAAAACCTTTTTGAGTACTCTCATGTTCCAGAAGATGCTCAAATTTCTGAAACAATACCTCCTATGTTAAGTCCATGCAACATCTTCAAAAGACAAATAAGTGTTACCAGATCCATCTGAAATCTTATCTCTACAAACTGCCCTCATATGAAAGAATACATCCAATCATCTAAACTAGACTAATGCAGTCTAAGAGCTACGAACCAGGAGCAGTACGTAGATTTGGAGATTCCCCAATATCTCATAAACCACTATAAGACTGAAGGATATACAACCTTACACTTTGGGGTTGTCACACTCATCCTTTCTCTTCATGGAAGGAAGAGCCAACTTGTCTTTTGCAAAATAGCTCTACTAGACTCCAGCCACCTCCACTATAAAAATGTTGTGATATGAACTGTTCTATCTACACTTCATGCAGGAAGTGTTGTCCTCACCATCTTTCTAAACTATAATGTGAGTCTTAATGATAATATTTTATCCACAATATTGAAAGTACAGATTCAGATCATCGGATCTGACCAAGTTCCAAAAGCCATGTCATCTACCCTCCATCACTAGATAATATACCACTTACAAAATCACTCGATAGATCTTCCTATCTCAGGATGCTCTTCTGATTCACTATTGATTGTCACCAACTGAGAAGAAGACATACCCTTCATAGTTCAAATTCCGAGAAGGATCACAAAGGAAGAGTTAACTCAGCTAATTCCCCTTGAATGGATAACCAACTACGAGAGACTCCATGTTGACAAAATACCTATCCAATCTTAAGAGGCTAATTTCAGGAGATCTGTTGACAATACAGTCAAGACGATCTTCAAGAAGCCAGACGAAGGGTCGAGCTCAATATCTCCGATCTTCCAGACAATGATGATCCAACCAGTTCTCAAAGAAGACTGGTGTCCTATCTATGCTGTTACAATAAAGGGAAAACCCATCTACACTGATATAATAGATGGTCGAGCTCAATATCTCCGATCTTCCAGACAATGTTGATCCAACAAGATGTGACCTGGATTGTGACTGCTGGATGCACGACAATGATATTGACTGAGATATCATTCTTCCCAAAACAAAGAAAAATGAAAGGTGTAAACCCTCTCCACCTCCTCAAAGGAGATCTGATCTAGACAATGGTCCATGAATAGGAACCCATGTAAAAAAGAAACCCCTCTGTATGTACGAGAAAAGACTTAAAATCCTTAAGAAAGAAGGGTTGTTACCACCTGATGATCCGACTCTTATTACATGGTCACCAACAAACCATTGTAAACTGCTACGTCCTCCAGTTGTTGTTCCACCAATTTCTTGCTTTATGTATTCAACCACAACTCTGGAGTACGACCAACAATTTCCTGCTTTGGAAAGAAAGATGGATC